ACGCTGTTGTATTCATATTTTCTATACATGGACACCGTTAAGGTAGAATATTGTGTCATTTACATTGTTTTGTCAATTGTTGGTCGCCTTTTTGAAGACACAATGAACACAGTACAATTCACATATTAACATGGGACGTTAATTCAGCACGACGAATTCACTGAATCTAGTATATCATCATTGAAGTCTGGGAAATATATTCGAGACCGAGAAGGGTACCTGGGACCGATTTTGAACAAAATTTAGATATTTCAAATTGAACACATTTCCAGCATTCTTTCGTTATATTTGCTACCAATTATTAACAATTATAAACTGAACATTCTTAATAATGCAGCCTGAGAATCAGAGAAGATTATACATTTAACACAAACTGTGATTTAGGCCAAACCAAATACATCGCGCATCGGCTTCCATCATGACCATGCTTTATCTCTCAAACTATCATTTCTGAAGCGAACTTGTGCTTAAGCCCCGTTGTTTGAATTAGTAAGACTCGATGTAACATCAATATGCACACTATGTTTTATTGGAGGAATATAGGTTTTATTGGGGGAATATATGTTTTATTGGGGGAATATATTTTATATACGAGAAAGAACAGTTATCATTGTCACCGAAAGGATGGAAACAGCCAGTCGATGTAGAAACTCGAATTTATTCAAATGCGTTGACGCTACACTAAAGTGTACCTGGAGAATTTATTTCAATATCTCGAATCAGATTAGCTTTAGTAAATGTATACAGTAATGGTGTACTATGTAGCCTCGATCGGTGACCGGATATTTACAACCCATAACCCCCATAAATTACGCATACTCTACAACCTCTATCCGTGATTGTTTATTTATATTAAACACTATAAAATCACATACTGTAAAATTTTAGCTGGAATTAATTTTTGCTGAACAGACTTTGGGTGTTTTGTATGGAATTTATTTTCACAAATTGTTGACAAGTTGAATGTAAAATATAGGAAAAAGGGTACTTTCACTGGATTTTATTTTCACTGAATCAGCCCTTCAACGAAAATATCGAAAATAAAATCCAAGTGATAATTTAAGTATTTTACAGCACACAATACGTTGACATGTACACTAAAGTATGCCTGGCGGATTTATTTCTAAAATACGTTGTTTTCAATAGCTCGAATCAGATTAGCTTTAGTAAATGTATAATGTAATGACGCATACTCCACAACATCGTGATTGTGTATTTATATTAAACACTATAAAATCGTATACACAAAATGCATAATCAAAGGTAACCATTTATCAATTTAAAAAAGTGTTCTTTCTACATAGATATTTCGTCATTTTCACGCCAACGTTGTCAAACTCACAACTGATTCAGCTTATAAACTATCACATTCTTTAGAGATGGCACAGCTATGCAGTAATGCACAATCGAAATGACCAACTGAGACCCAGCTGTTCATATTTGATAAAGTCACGGTCAGCATCCATCCCCGCGAAAAAAAAACAAAAAAACAGTAATACAAAACGATAAACATGGATATAATATAGAAAATTAGTAAATACACTTATCAGATTCTTATAAAAATTAGCAAAATAAAATGAAATTACTATCTCGATAATTGTGTCTTCTAGCAGAAAATGTATTTTCTTCTTGTCAGATACTTGAAATTGACGAATACGTAATGACTCAATGCATGAAGAATGTGACCAGCGGATGTCTCAGACGGATACTGTCGTCGGGCTAATGATTTCAACTAAAAAATAAACAACATAAATATTGTGTCAATTGAGAGGGTGAAATTACCATCAGGAATTGTTAAAACCAACGTAGAAGACGAACTGCATTCCCCGTGACCTTCATGTTTGTTATAAAATGTATTTTGTTGTAAGATCCGTAGCACGATATTGTTAACATGTCACATGGTATATTATGATAAATCTTACCGTCACTCTGTCCGAAGATATCTGTTCTGGACGTCGCCGATACGATCCATACCATGATTCCAAGCAGTCCAATAGCAACCACAAACACAATACATACGATGAGTGTCAAATGTAAACACGCCCTCGATTGGTTTGCTTCTTTCTCGTTCTGAAAATCCACAATTTTCTCATCAATTAAAAATCTCAGAACGTTTGTAAACCTAACTTAGATACTACGGTACTAACGCGTTATTCTAATAATGTTAGATTATCGGTTGACCTGAATATGAGCTCACGTTGAATCAGGAATGCGATATCATAGCGGATAACAACCGTGACGGAATCGTGACAGTGATGTAATTCTTATCCGACCGAAACATTGTCACAAATCTGAAACAGGCGGCATGTATGGTACTCTTACCGCGTACACGAGCTTGCTTTGCTCCCGCATTGAATCTTCGCGTCCCTCTTCCATTTCACACGTTCAAATTCAAAATGGCCTTCTGACTGAGCTGCTTGATTTGCTCACTAACACGCATAACATTACTCGCTATACATTGCATACAGTGGCAGCCAATAGAGATCACTGTGAGGCGAGTTATAATGTATATTCACCCGCAGCGACAATTGCCTGGACACCGAAGCCCTATTGTACTGTAACGTGTCGGTCAATAAGCATACTTATTCTAATAGCAAAGGTGAATAACATCGATGTTTTG